TGGTTTTGAGTTATGAATCTTGGGAAGAAAGGAATTTATAAAATATTTAGTTTTATTCCTTGTGGAAATTGAAGTTGAGAATGAATCTAAATTTAATTGTTGGTTTTACTTGGACAATATCTGTATGTTTATGAATTGTGATCCTTTTTATTTGGAAGACTACGTGTGGCTTGATCTCTCTTTAAGGGTACGTAAGCAACCTGGGTTAACGTAAATGCAGCCACAAATTGATCTGTTTGAGTTTTGTTTGATCTGTTCTAGTACATTGTATTAAATGATTGTTTATGAGGTCGGAGTCCCATTTTGTAATTTATGTATGCTACTACATTGTTTGTGCTGGCAGTTGGTAGTTATTTTGTTGTTTTTGACAGGTGAAAAATTTGTAGAGTCCATTTTCAGGGGAGACTACCGAATTTTCAGTAAGAGTCTCGGCCCCATTTTTCCTTAGTTTCGGAGAAGGAGACTATTTTAGTAAGTGGGTCCGTCATAGGTTAGTTGTGGGACGGGAAGCAAGGTTCGTCAAGGATTTCGAGGGGGAATCCGGGACGGGTCCTATCACTTGTCCATAGTAAAAATAAAAATGAATATAGAAAACACTTAGAAATTATTTTGAAAGAATTTATTGATAATGGTATAGTTATAAGTAAGAATAAAGTAGAGCTCAAAAAACAAGATATAGAATTTTTAGGTATGTATATTAAGTCATGAACTATACAGTTACAAGAACACATAGCTAAAAAAGTGTTAGAATTTTCAGATAAATTAGAAGATAAAAAGAAATTACAAGTATTTCTAGGATTATTAAATTATGCTAGAAGTTTTATCCTTGAATTAGGAAGAAAGATTGCAGCATTGCATAGTAAAACCAGTAAAACATATCAAAAAATATTTTAATAGTTAAGATATTAAATTAGTTCAAAATATCAAACAAAACATAACTCAGCTTAAGTGTCTAGCATTACCATTAGATAATAATTATAAAATAGTTGAGACAGATGCATCATCAATAAGATGAGCATGAATTTTATATCATAAGAAATATAAAGAAGAATCTAAATCATAAGAAAAAGTTTGTAGTTATGCATCACATAACTTTAGTGATATACATGCTTAGACTTTTAGCCACTACTTAGAAATTTTATGAGTAATAAACTCCCTAGAAGCATTTTCATTGTTATTACAAAATGAGATATTTACTATTAGAATAGATTGTCAGAATATTGTTTTCATTATAATAAAATTACTACTAATAAACTTTAGCTCGAGAAAGATATAGATTTCTCCCATAAGATATTAAGTGCCCGTTTAGCATTGCTTATTTGGAGTGATAAGTGATTTTTAAAAAAAAAATTAGAAAGCCCAGCCAATTTGGTAAACTATGAGAAAATCATTTATTATTAAAAATTGTTACGAGAGAAAGCTATCAGGGAAAGCAGCTAATGATGTGTTTTCATTTTCTGATTATGCAGGAATTAGTTTCGAAAAGGCACTAGATTTAATGATTGATAATATTACAATAATACATGTTTATTTTCCTTAACATTTAATTTTAAAAGCAATTATAATGGGTAATTAAATAATCTTATGCATTTATATTTTTACTTGGTCAAATTGGTTTAATGTTATTTTATTAACTTCAATCAATGACTTCCTATGTAGGCTTGTGTGTTGTGAAAACCAACTCAATTTGCATGTCAAGAAGTGTGCCACGCAAAGATAATATGCTAGTGGCCAATTAAAGAACTTCAACATATCCATGAAGCAATGATGAAGAAAGAAGAAGTGCAACTAGCACAAGAAGAAAAGAATTGAAAAGAATGCATGAAGTGCCACATCCATGCCAAAAGAAGAAAGGAAAAGAAGTATGGGATGGAAGCAAACAAGAAGAAATTGAATTCACTTGCTTGTGAGGTGTCATCCACTCGAAAAAAACTCAAATTCAATGCCAATTCATAGGCAAGATAAGGTGGGAATTAGGTATTGCATTAAAATAGGAATGGTGGTGTTGGAATCCATTATGATGCTTCTCCTTCATAGCCCTATAAATAGAGAAGTCTTCAAGCTTCAAAACACACACCAAACTCACAATATTCTCTTGAGCTCTCTCTCCTTCCTCCAATTCTTCTAGTTTTAATTTCTTTAGTTTTATTTTATGGGAAACTAACTCCCTAGCTAAGGCTAGGGAGAAAGCTTTTAATATGAGTATGTAATTTTTATTAGCTTGATCCAAACTTAAACTTTAATGTGGATTTGTAGTTTTGTTCAAATGGAATTTGTAGTTTTTCTTTTTAATTAATTGATGAATGTTTGATAATCTATTTCATGGGTTAAATCATATTTTTCCCATTGTGTAGTAAAAACTTTTATGCTTTTAAAAGAGGAGATAATTACTAAGATTAATAGAATTTCGACGAAGATTATTTTTTGATAGTTTGTTGCCAATGGTACAAGTTATGCTTAGAATACTTCTAAAGGAAATTAAAAAGAGCTTTAATTATTTTGAACAACTACAATGGAAAATATTTTGTGAATCAAATTAATAAGAGTTGCATGCTTATGTTAAAAGTGAAACCCCAATGCCTTAGTGTTTTAATCAATTAAATTCTCTTTAAATCAAATCTTGATTAAATCTACACCTTTATCTTAATTGTTATGTCTCAACTCTGTTATTTTCTTTACACCGCTCTCTATGGATACAACACTCAGACTTTTGAGCTACACTGTTATATGACACCTTCGCTTGGGTTTTGCAAAGTGGTACACATCAATGATTATGCGGAAATCATTTTCTGATTATGCAGGAATTAGTATCAACAACACTTACAGCAAAAAATTTACCAAATGCCAAAATGCTTTCTCTCACAGCAAATTTGACAGTGATTATTTTCACAGTACAGCAATGCCAAACTGGCTAATTAGATTAGAATATGAGCAAATACATCTCTTCAGTTATACATTCAAGCATTTCTTTTTAATTTAAAAAATAATCCACAACCTGATATAAAAATTATTACTAAAAGTTGTTCTCATTATACTATTTATTTAGCTAGTATTAACATGGTGGAATATAGAGAACTACATTTAGAGCATAACCAAAAAACTATCACAATTACTCCAACATTTTTAGCGAAGTATGGTTATTTAGGTCAACTTTACATTGAAAATAGTCATCATTTAGATTCATTTTCCTCATAATTAATAGAAGTTATAAGTTTTTATATCTCTCTTTGGAAGAATGTAAAATTAGTTTTCACCAACATACCTCCAAAGTGGTTTACATATAGTATTTACCTAGATAGAGCACAACATATTATTATTATTTCTCATAATGTACTGCTTAGTCTGGCAGAATCCGTAAATACAGAGATCTCTACCAAGCAAGATAATAAAAAATACAGAGGAGCAACAATAGCTGAGCTACAATTGTTCAATGATGATCATTTGAACCTCCTTCACCAATCCAACTTTGTAAATATTTATTCAAAGACTACATCGAGAAGACCGAATGACACATATGAATTCAGGATAAGCAAAACATGAGTAAAAGTTTTTTATGAAATCTATAATCAAATAGCATAACAAATTGAAGCAGAAGACAACGACAACTCATACTAAAATAGCTTAGATGAAGAAGAGCTACACAATATAAACATGATGTTGGAAGCATAACTCCATGTGAAGATCTCATGATAGTAGAAGCATATCAACTTCATTTCACATGAAGGGATTATCCTAGCAACATAATAGAAGATGGAGCATCAATCCAAAATTTATCAAAGCAAGATAATCCAACTCTTTGGCACCATACGGCAAGCAAGAAGCGACACTTTTTGGCACCATCTGAAAGTAGAAAAAAGACTCCTTAGACAATCTAAAAATGAATAAAGGCATTATTTTCCAAACACTATAATTTTGCCCTCTTTATAAAAAGGGTTATCTACTGTAGACGTCCTTAAACTTGGCCCCTAGTTACAATTGGGTCCCCAAACTTTTTTTTTTTATGCAATTAGGTCATGCAACTCTCTCATTCGTTCCAATTGAGTCCTTCCGTCAATTTGGCTATTAATTTAAGGGCTAAAACCGTCCATTTTAATTTAAAATTTAAAAAATTAAAAAATTAAAAAAAAGGAAGTGAAATAAAATAATTAAATTAAAATAATAAATAAATAAATAAACTTCAAAATAAAAAATAAAAATCCAAATCCCTCTCTCTTTCGCTCTATCTCTCCCTCTCTCTCGCAACCTATTCCCCCTCCTTATCCCACGCCCTCAAAACCCAGATCCCAACCCAACCTACAACTCACCCCCCATCTCCCAACCTGCAACCCATCTCTCCGCCCCGGAATGTCGAATGAAATAGGTCTTACTTGATGCTTGTGCTAAGCAAGGAGGTTGAAGAAGGCCGCAAGTGGAAGCAACTGATGCTTTGGTCATTCAGTTGACTTCTTGCTGACAGTCCATGCTTGCTGTCATGCTAGCAAAAACAGGGGTTGCTGGTGGGTTAGAGTAGCTCCTCTAGTCAAAGTATCGGGCCCCTTTTTCGTTGCTAGGTTACACCTTCGGAATACCCCAAAAGGGAATTTTGCTATGTTTGGAACCCTATCTATACAAGGGGGTTGATTCTAAGATCTGATCTTATTAATCCCCTATTGTGCATATGTAAATAGAGTCAAGTAAATCCTATGTGGATTCTACCAATCACAAACTGTTTGATATGGATTTGTATTGTAAACTTGTGAAGATGGAGGTGGGGTTGTTAGGATTGATGATGGATGAAGAAAGTGGAGTTGGGGTTAAAGATGGATGAAAAACCCGAAAGGACGCTTTTACCCACTCACTTTGATAGATAAATTGACAGAGTTGAACGGTAGGATCCAATTGGAAGAATTTATCGAGTTAACGAATTTAATTGCCTCAAAAAAATATTTACGGACCCAATTACAACTAATGGCCAAATTTAGGATGTCTACAATAGATAACCCTTATAAAAACTTCCCGAATCAAAAGTCCCTTTGCTTTTTTGGTTTGGCACTACTTAATAGTGATCGAAATGCCCATTTTCTGTAAAAACGCTTCGTTGCCTTAAACCTTCTAAACCCCTTTCCCATGGCGGCCCTGAAGCTTCTCCTCTCCTCAGCTCGCCGTCACTGCCTTTCCAAACCGCACTCCCATCTTCATCCACCTCCATTTCTAAGCTACCGCAGATCCTTTAGCTCCGAATCCGACCCGACCCAGAACCCGAACCCAAACTCTCCCTCTCCTCAACCCCCTACTCGACAATCCGTGCCGATCGAACCCGTTTCCTACTCTCTCAAGCCCAAAGACCACTCCTCACCCGACCCAGACCCAACTTCCCAACCCGAACAAACATCACCACAGCCGCCGAGCGGGCCTCGGGACTTGCCCAACTCACCGAGTCAGGAAACTCGCTCCGAGTGGACCCGTGAAGAGGCTCGGTTCTTAAGGCACGTGCCCTCTATATCTCCGGTATCGTACCGGGTCAAAGTTGCTCCGTTGCCGGAAGATAGGGTCCCTCAGGAGGCCGAGGGAGGCGAAACCGGAGCTGAGAAGGGTGGGGAGAGTGTGAAGGATCACGGGGCGGTCTTGGAGAGAGAGAAGAAGAGGATCGAGGCGGATGGTCGATTGAGAAGGAGGCTTTTCAGGGTACCGGAGGAGGAGGTGGTGGTTCCTTTTCCCACGTTGATTAACGTTGAGAAGAAGGAGAGGAAGCCTATTCTTGATGTAATGGACGCAATTCGCCAAGTCAAGGTCAGTGTAAGGTTTTCTCTTTTTTGTTTGTTTGATAAATCGGGTGTTACTGTTTGGTTGCTGTGAAAATGTGGGAAAGTTAACGGACCTGAAGTTTTCCATTTCCTTGTTACATATTTGGATTTGGGATAGCAAATGGCTTCTACGATACTAACTATACAGTTTATTTGGCATGGTTGTTATTATCTTTTATTTCTCTGGTTTAAGTTTGTTTCTGGGAAATTGAATAATTTTTAAATGTGGTAGTTTTTTGGCTGAAGAAATGTGGTCGAAGTATATGGAGTGTTTATTTTAATTCACCTTTTTCGTTCTGGGTAATATATATGTTATACTTGGAGGTCTGGCTGGCGTATGAACTCAATTTGGTTTGCTAAGGTTTGTGAGACTTAAGTGAGAACATCTAGAAATCATGACCATTTTTCACGTGCATATTGAGCTCGCAGCAGATGTTTGTTTTTTCTCTCAGTCCAGTTGGATTTATCTTTTTTAGTTTATTGTTCTTGTTGTTGAGATAATAGCTATATTGTAATTACATGGATCTCTTTAGACTTTATTTTGGGTCATAGTTTACGTAAGAGTATTTTGTTTTGCATGTGTTTCCCATTTCTAATCTCTTCTTCTCATGTTCTAGTTGTTTTACAGGCTAATGCCAAGTGCAAATTTGATGAAACTGTTGAAGCTCATGTTCAATTGGGTATTGACGCCAAGAGAAATGTAATATGCCAACTCATCTGAGTAAAATCTTCTCCTATCTCAAGCATAACTTTTTTTTGTGAAATAGACTCTGATATGTTGACCAGTAACCTATGCAAATATGAAATATATAAAAGCAGTTCATAGTTTTAGATTTTCAATTCATCTCATGGCTCAATAGCCATTAAATTTAAAAGATAAACCTATACGAGACGGTACAAAATAAAAATGTGTGGGCATGATAGTCAATGTGAGTTCAAGGTAACTCCCAACAGTTCGATTTGTTTATAGCTATCCATGTTCTTTTTTAATAAGGTGAACAATCTCACATGTGTATGGGTGCGTATGAGATGGCTAATAGGCATTAGTAGTTGGGCAGAATTGTTGAAACACCTAATATTTCAAAGAATGTTTTGAAGAAGCCATTAATAAATGTTTATATTGATTGGACTTCAAGATGGTTTATTGGAATTTCAGGATTTTTGAATGAACTCCGTGTTTTGGACTCAAAATGTCTTGACGTTAAGCAAAAAAAAAATTTATGTGACTAATCCTTTTAAACCATTGTCTGTCAGTTCCTTGTACTCATTTTTTTCAATTCTAAAAGCGACCTTCACTATTCGTGGGCGTAGGCACCCAAATATGTTTAGTCTTGACTGAGGGGTCTTTAAATTTATCGTATTGTATCATTTTCTGACTATACCTTTAGACCATAATGTTGTGGCCTCATCTGATTGTGTCAATTTGCAAATTTTCAGTAGAAGTTCTCAAACTTAGTGCTATGCTTTCCAAACAGTAACTAGTAAAAGTTCTTGCTTCTACTTTTTTATTTCGTGCTTGCAATTTTACATGTAATTATTATTTTTAATGTTTCAAACTCCTGTTTGAAGATTCAATTTACATGGACTGCTACCTGATTGAACTGCAGGCAGTTCGTGGTAATATGACTTTGCCTCATGGTAGTGGGAAGGTAGTTATCTAAACTTTGCTAAATCATGCTGGAGTTTTTCCATCTAACTTAAATTCTAGTTGGCTTGTGTATGACCACTGTTATTTTTCAGGTTGTCAGGGTTGCTTTCTTTGCTGAGGGCGCAGATGCAGATGAAGCTAAAGCTGCAGGAGCAGATATTGTTGGCGGTGTTGAACTTGTGGAGGAAATTGCAAGTAACGAACCAACCCTTGTTGCTACTACTTGCATTCTAAATATTACACTAAAAAGAGAAACTCCTATCTACTGGATATACTATGCAATGATTTTGCCGTTTCAAAATTTCTGATTTTTGGTTTTGATCTAAACTTCTTTCTATCATAAATGTCATTTGGTTTATGTGGGTTCATATGAATCTTACATTGCTTCAGTTGAAGAAGTAATCAAACCATTGATGACCTGAGCTTTGTATCATGCAGGCACTCATAAGCTCAATGTTGACAAGTGTTTTGCAACAAATGAAATGATTATGCGCCTGGCAAAGGTTTTTGAGTCGTAATTGTTTTCATGTGGGATAAGTCATCTTCATTACTTCATTAATCGAAAGGGAATCTTTAATGTTTTGCAGATTGCAAGGATTCTTAGAGAGCGTGGTTTGATGCCTGACCGGAAAGTGAGTTAATCATATTGTAATTTCTTATTCAATTCGCAGGTCTGTGGGCAAACTACTAATGTTGGTTATACTATGTATCATATAGCTAGGCACTGTCACTAATGACATCTCTGGAGCACTGCAAAAAGTAAGACAAGGTCATATTGAGTATAGAATGGACAGAACATCAATTGTACACGTGGGACTTGGAAAGGTACCATAGTCTTAGTCCAAATACAGTGTTCTATTTTTACTTTTCTGGAGACATGGAATTCACTTTCTTATTTTTCTTATCTATTGTCCTCACCATTCTTTCTTTTCAGGTAAGCTTTACAGAGGAGTACCTGCGTGAGAACATTGGTGCCTTTATGAGTTCTCTTTTGCTGGCAAAGCCTACGGGATTAAAAAAGTGTAAGTGGCACAAATTACTCATGTTTCCTATAGTGTTATTCGTGGGCTAAACTAAGTAAAGTTCAAATTTGATTTTAATGTTCAACCATAGTTTTACACACTCGGTTTCTTGCTCTTGCATATGAGTGCAGAGGATCAAGTTTATTAGCCATGTTTATTCTGAGCACTTCATGAGCTATTTGGTTCTGCTCAACAAGAAGTTCAGCTCAATTTGCTTGTTAGATAAATGAACCAAACTTGATACTGAGGTGCAGGCTCTTTTTTTCATTTTTTTATTATTATTTATCAAATGAGCCTAATTTAGAAAAATCTAAGCTTTGTTGTGCCTAAGTTAGAAATTTATTGAAATTTGTTCATCAATGTTGTCATCATGATATACGTTGTTGACCTATGCTTAATACAAGTTTTTGGCATACAACGATAGTCTTAACATGGTATCAGAGTTTTGGTTGAATTGTTCTAGGAGGTCTTAATTTTGAGATCTCTCATCCAATTCCCCACTTATTTTTTAACTGACAAGGTGCAGTTCACCTATTTATTTCTCCATGAGGATACACGTAATAGAGGGTGTGAGCTTGATATTTGTTGTTGATTCATTTCCTAATAACTTAAGTTTGTGTGGCCCAATAATCGTCTAACAGCTGTAAATTCTCAATTGCTGTAACTGAAGTGCAGGTGCATGACTCTGTTGACAGTTAACTTCATTGTTCATGTTTAATCTTGGTGTAATGTTTGACCCAACTGCATGGTTGTGCTGTATTATATGTTCCTCACCCTCAACACCTTGATTGCATGAAGCTCTTTCGAGTATCAAAGCATGTCTCTGTAGTTGTTTCTTTTAAGGCCAAGTTGAGAATGCCCTTGAATGCATTACCCACCCCTGAGCCAGACATGAGCTGAAGACATTCAGCTTGATTACTTCTGAGCCACTTAAAGCCGCTAACTTTCTCCTAGCCAAGCTAGAAAATCGTAGAGGTCAGCTTGGCTTAACTCATCTGCAAGTCTACATGATAAGTAATTGCAGTAGTAATTCCAAGATGCAATTATGATCTTGGACTGTAAAAGATGCCAAACAGTTGGGTGAACGCTGTTGGGCTTCAGGAATTACAGGGCAATAAGGGATAGAAGCTAAACATCCTTTGGGGAGGCTCTAATATCTCTCTACCCAACTCTTTGTCTAGCAGCCAAGAACAAGAGAGCTACTTAAGTGTCAAATGCAAAAACCAACCCTAGGACTAGGAGAGTGGCTCTTTAAGTTAAATTAATGGGAGTTCTCGTGCACTCATAATTAATTGATTAGAATTATTTTATTGTATTTTTTTTGGCATATGTTTCTCTAAATCTCTACACCTCTTTTTGACGTTTATGAAAATCATTTGCACAGCTTCCAAATATGCTGGGTATATTAACTCCTTCCACATATGTAGCACGGTAAGCTCACAACCCTTGTTTTTGTTTTTGCATAATTCTTTTCTTTAACGTTGAGCCATGCATAGATCCTAATCCTGTCAATTATGTGCAGATGGGTCCAGGAGTTCCAGTTTCAATACAGTCATTATCCAAAGCTGCAGATCACTACAATAAAATGCACCTCAAGTGATGTGCTCTGTTGACATTTCCAACATAGATCAGTGGTTCAATCTTTGTTTTCTGTGATTTTTTACCCTTTTAGGAAGTGAGGGCTCTCATTGTCTCTCTCAGAGCAGGAGGATATTGATCGGGTTCAATGGAATAGTAGATCGATGTGGCTAGGATTACGCGAGTTAATATCTTGTTTTTGGGTCAAATCTGCCGGGCATCCAAGTATTTTTGCATATGGAATTTTGGCAGTACTGCTTCATCAACATGATCTTCATGTTTCATTGCTTAATTAAGTCACAGATTTGACCAAAAATAAACGGTTCATGTTTCTCCTCCTTGTAACTGTTCGTCTCTTAAATAGCTTTTCGATTTGGTCGCATGATCTTCAACTCGAATGACACTATTTAAGGGACACTTTGTTGGGCCCCTCCAATATATTTCGATGATCCGAATCATTAATTTTTTGGTTATGTTTTGAGTTTAGAAAATAATAATAATAATAATAATAATGATTTCCCTACTCCTAATTTATCCACTTACACTCCTTTTTTAGTTATAAAAAAGGAGTGTAAGTGGATAAAATAGGAGAAAAAGGAGTGGGGAAATCACTACTCTAATAATAAATTGCAATTAACTATACTAAAAGAACACAAAAGTAATGAGCTAAAATAATTTTCTTGCAATTTTTACTGAAGTTCATTAAAAAAAAACTAGAGTGTTGCCAGAGATTATTATCCTTGAAAAGGATTTGTAGACATTGCTTCGGTAATTTTTATCTCGGCATTTATTGATGATTTGTTTTTTTTATAGAAGCGATGTTAGGAGAGGTGAGGTGAGAACCAAACTTAAGATCCAGGGTCTATAAATAAATGTTTTTAATTAGCTGAGCATAAGTCCGTGCCTTCATTTCTCGAATTGCGAATAAGGCGAATTTCATACAACGGATAAAAAGGAAAGCAGAAAGTGCTTGTCATTCCAGTGTCCTATTTTGTTTTTAGTTCGTAGATAGCAATTGTTTTTAATTAATCTTAGCATGGCCCATACTTTTTTTCTATAAAACAATAATGACCCATTCTCATTGTCATAGTCTGTCTTTGCTTGAATGATTGCATCTTTTTTTTCTTTTTTTTTGGTCAAAGATATTTGAAACGAACACCCCCCAACAACCCACCCCCTCAAACAAAACAAAAAAGCCTAAGATATTACTAGTAAAATGAATTGCGAACAATGAACAATTATTTTGGTGCCATTTTTCTTTTTAACAATGAAGAACTCTCGAGTTTAAGTTTCGCCTCTTCCAATAATTAGAAAAGAACAAACATGACCTAAACATTCAGAATTTTTAGCTTCAGCTCAGGTTTTCAGGCAATTTTTGGCCTTTCCTTGGCCCTAAGTATTTTATATTTTTCTAATTAATGGAGAAGGAGGGATTCAAACCCATTAGAAAAATTACTTCCATACTAAAAAAAGGGTGTTGGCTTCAAATCTTATAAACCACATTTATTCAGTAGAAATAAAAACCAAAGTGCAATAAATGCCTTTTTCATTTTTTTAAATATACTTGAGCCAAATGTTACTGTTCCCCGCGCCACAAATCAAGACAAATACAAGAACGAGAGAGAGAGAGAGAGAGAGAGAGTCTTACAAACTCCAAAGCTCCAAAATGTTATTCTCTCCCATCCTCTACTGAGTTGAGGGTTAGGGTTACGCTTTTCTGCTTGGAATTTATTTGGTGAGAGAAATGGAGGAAGAGGATGAGTATAGAAGGAAGGAGCGGTTGGCATTGGTGGTCATTGTGGTGCTTGCTTCACTGGCCGTGGCTTCCTTACTCGTCGCCTTCAGCTACTACTGCTACATTCGCAACAAGGTCGCCAAGCGCTTCGAGAACCACAAGGGTGAGATACTTACTTACCCTCTGTTTGTTTGCTAAGAAAATGCAAGAAAAAAACAGAAAATTTCATCTTTTTATACATTCTACTGTTGTTTTGTGGGTAGGAGTTCACTATTTATGCTTATAAGAGCGTTTGAGGTCACCCACTTAATAAAATTAGTACTTTTTATTGAAATCACTTGGGTTTCTGTGGAAACTCAAGGACATAAAGACAAAAGTTTGAGTCTTTGTTCTATAATTATGTTGGATGGTGCCTTTTGTTCTTTCTTGCATGCTCTTGGAATTACAATGAAATTTCCTTTCATTTTGTTGTTGTTGTTGTTGAAGGGTTTGGGAATGAGGACAAAGGTGCTTTGTCAAATCTGCAAGTTGCTTCCAGTAAAGGACTTCAGGTCTTCACCTTCAAGCAACTACATTCTGCTACTGGTGGTTTCAGCAAGTCAAATGTGGTTGGCAAAGGAGGATTTGGGTTAGTGTACCGAGGTGTTCTCCATGATGGGAGGAAAGTTGCAATTAAGTTTATGGACGAAGCAGGAAAGCAGGGAGCAGAGGAATTTAAAATGGAGGTCTGATCTTAGTATTCATCCTGTTTACTTTGGCCCTATTAGTTCCTAGGAATGTGATGGGGAAAAATGGCTGAAGTTCACAATACCGTCTTTAACCCTTGGCAGTTGAACAATTACTCACCTGAGCCAAATGATTTTGTAGGATTTGGTTGAGTCGATAACTCATATTCTTATACCAAAACACCGAAATATGCAAGTTTTGAGTTCCCCACTTTAACCTTTGGCAATAATAAGTTGAGCAATAGATTTACTTTTCAGATCGTGTAAAATTGGTCATTGATTGGTTGATAATTAAATGCAGGTGGAGTTGCTAAGTCGGCTGTGTTCTCCATATTTGTTGGCGCTGCTTGGGTATTGCTCAGATAACAATCACAAATTGTTGGTATATGAGTTCATGGCAAATGGTGGTTTACAGGAACATTTGTATCCTGGGAGTGGTAAGTATACCTTTTTAACAGTTTATTGCTTTCTGATATACTGATTGGATAATGTTCTTTTGCATGATTAATTACTAGGCTTTGGGAATAGAAAAATATTATGAACACCCCATGTACTTTGCAATCTGTGTCATATGATAGTATTTCATCTGTATACTGTGAGTTAAAGCCAGGCTTTGATCTTTGCTGCTTGCATTGTGCCCTTTTTAGTTCTCTCTTCACACGCTCTATCATTCCAATCATGATACTTCTTTGCCCGACCCTACAAGTTTTGTTTGTCCATTACAGTTGGCATCATTTCTATGCATAATTGTGGTTGTCCTGGTCACTATTCTTTCATGTTTAAATGTCTGAAAAAGATGGTTTGCTGTTGGATTAACTGCTCGAATTCGGTCGTGCAGGTCCTAATGCTCCCTCCATGAAGTTAGACTGGGAAACTCGGTTGAGAATAGCTCTTGAAGCTGCAAAGGGTTTGGAGTATCTCCATGAACATATTAGTCCTCCCGTGATTCACAGAGATTTTAAGAGCAGTAACATTCTCCAAAATGTTATTCTCTCCCATCCTCTACTGAGTTGAGGGTTAGGGTTACGCTTTTCTGCTTGGAATTTATTTGGTGAGAGAAATGGAGGAAGAGGATGAGTATAGAAGGAAGGAGCGGTTGGCATTGGTGGTCATTGTGGTGCTTGCTTCACTGGCCGTGGCTTCCTTACTCGTCGCCTTCAGCTACTACTGCTACATTCGCAACAAGGTCGCCAAGCGCTTCGAGAACCACAAGGGTGAGATACTTACTTACCCTCTGTTTGTTTGCTAAGAAAATGCAAGAAAAAAACAGAAAATTTCATCTTTTTATACATTCTACTGTTGTTTTGTGGGTAGGAGTTCACTATTTATGCTTATAAGAGCGTTTGAGGTCACCCACTTAATAAAATTAGTACTTTTTATTGAAATCACTTGGGTTTCTGTGGAAACTCAAGGACATAAAGACAAAAGTTTGAGTCTTTGTTCTATAATTATGTTGGATGGTGCCTTTTGTTCTTTCTTGCATGCTCTTGGAATTACAATGAAATTTCCTTTCATTTTGTTGTTGTTGTTGTTGAAGGGTTTGGGAATGAGGACAAAGGTGCTTTGTCAAATCTGCAAGTTGCTTCCAGTAAAGGACTTCAGGTCTTCACCTTCAAGCAACTACATTCTGCTACTGGTGGTTTCAGCAAGTCAAATGTGGTTGGCAAAGGAGGATTTGGGTTAGTGTACCGAGGTGTTCTCCATGATGGGAGGAAAGTTGCAATTAAGTTTATGGACGAAGCAGGAAAGCAGGGAGCAGAGGAATTTAAAATGGAGGTCTGATCTTAGTATTCATCCTGTTTACTTTGGCCCTATTAGTTCCTAGGAATGTGATGGGGAAAAATGGCTGAAGTTCACAATACCGTCTTTAACCCTTGGCAGTTGAACAATTACTCACCTGAGCCAAATGATTTTGTAGGATTTGGTTGAGTCGATAACTCATATTCTTATACCAAAACACCGAAATATGCAAGTTTTGAGTTCCCCACTTTAACCTTTGGCAATAATAAGTTGAGCAATAGATTTACTTTTCAGATCGTGTAAAATTGGTCATTGATTGGTTGATAATTAAATGCAGGTGGAGTTGCTAAGTCGGCTGTGTTCTCCATATTTGTTGGCGCTGCTTGGGTATTGCTCAGATAACAATCACAAATTGTTGGTATATGAGTTCATGGCAAATGGTGGTTTACAGGAACATTTGTATCCTGGGAGTGGTAAGTATACCTTTTTAACAGTTTATTGCTTTCTGATATACTGATTGGATAATGTTCTTTTGCATGATTAATTACTAGGCTTTGGGAATAGAAAAATATTATGAACACCCCATGTACTTTGCAATCTGTGTCATATGATAGTATTTCATCTGTATACTGTGAGTTAAAGCCAGGCTTTGATCTTTGCTGCTTGCATTGTGCCCTTTTTAGTTCTCTCTTCACACGCTCTATCATTCCAATCATGATACTTCTTTGCCCGACCCTACAAGTTTTGTTTGTCCATTACAGTTGGCATCATTTCTATGCATAATTGTGGTTGTCCTGGTCACTATTCTTTCATGTTTAAATGTCTGAAAAAGATGGTTTGCTGTTGGATTAACTGCTCGAATTCGGTCGTGCAGGTCCTAATGCTCCCTCCATGAAGTTAGACTGGGAAACTCGGTTGAGAATAGCTCTTGAAGCTGCAAAGGGTTTGGAGTATCTCCATGAACATATTAGTCCTCCCGTGATTCACAGAGATTTTAAGAGCAGTAACATTCTCTTGGACAAATATTTTCATGCCAAAGTTTCTGATTTCGGATTGGCCAAGCTTGGATCTGACAAGGCTGGAGGCTATGTTTCCACCAGAGTATTGGGTACACAGGGATATGTTGCCCCAGAGTAAGAACATCTAAACTTTTAGCTGCAATGTGCTTATTGGTCAATTGATACTGTAAGAGTTACCCATATTTCTAATTCCCCTCATAGTCTCAAATATTAACTATGAAATAGCAGCTGTTATTAATTCAGTTTTACACATGTGCTTCATTATACAGGTATGCGTTAACAGGGCATCTGACAACTAAATCAGATGTGTACAGTTATGGGGTTGTGCTTTTGGAGTTGCTTACAGGCAGAGTTCCAGTTGATACGAAGAGACCTTCTGGAGAAGGTGTTCTTGTTTCTTGGGTGGGTTTCTTAGGTTTATTTTCACTTCCTGTAATAGAGTAATACTTTGTGTCATAACGAGTAACGCTTTACCCTATTCATTTTAGGGTCATATCTTTCTTGACAGTATTTCTTTTAAGAATCATTTTTCCCCTTAATTGTTAAGACTTCTTTTCGTTCTTTTAAATGATCTGCACTGTAGGCTTTGCCTCAGCTGACAGATAGGGAGCAGGTTGTTCAGATCATGGATCCTGCATTGGAGGGTCAGTACTCATTGAAGGAGGTCATTCAGGTGGCAGCAATTGCTGCGATGTGCGTTCAACCCGAGGCAGATTACAGGCCACTGATGGCAGATGTTGTGCAATCACTGGTCCCACTTGTGAAGATTCACAGGTCAACTTCAAAGGTAGGCAGCTCTTCTAGCTTTCATGCAACAAAGTCACCAACACCGCAGAGTTGTAAAGCAAGTCTATGAAACAAGTTGAAGACATGCATAAATTATCTCCGTAAGGCTTCTTAGGTATCTTATACTTCTAGGGTTTTTGTAGTCTGCTAATTTGATAGAAGAGGAAACTAGATTGAAGTAAATATAATGTTATCTAAATTATGTAATAATATAATTGGAAACATGTGACAGTTAACATGCTTACAACTTTCCTGTTCAAGATCTTATTAAGAAATGGTCAACAAGCTGAGGCTCTGCGTAATCCAGTTGATGATTCAAAATTAAGGCACAAGATTGGTTGATCATACGGTCATTGACTGTGCGCCTAATTTCGTTTCATCCCTTTTGACCTCCTGTTTGTGTTTTACTGTGTTTGCCGTTGGAATTTCATAATTTGGTTATATCAATTTGGTCTTGGAAATGTGTAAATATTCATAATTTTGATTTGCTAACATGTTAACTGGACCGATTGAAGAACAAACAACCAATTCTTTATATAACTGTTTTTTGCATGAACAATGGATCGTCAATTTTGTTGAGTTTTCTTCCAGTAAGTTTGGTATCAAAAGCGATATGGTGTTTGACATTACTGAAAGGGAAGGAGAAAGAAGGGGTATGCCATAGCAATGGTTCCTTCTTTTGTAATCAATTCAAGTTCAAGCCTGTTTTCACTCTTTAAAGAGCAAACAGCCTTAAATTTTAGCAACCATCGCGTACTATTGCGTATTTAGTGGGTCAAATTTTAGACATGAAATATTGGTACTGAAGAATGGAAGAGGAACAAACGGGAACGACTGTTTCACATTGGAATGTGAAGGACCAACTATTTAATCCACTCTGAGCTCAACTCTCGAATCACGTGCAGACAACTATGTTTCCAGTTACTGGGTGGTGTAGAGAAAGCCTTAGCCCTTTTTTATACAAGTCTATTTACAAGGAGCTAAATTGGTGATGCAATTTTCATTGCTCTACTGTTCTGCAAGCTTGCATGCACTCACGTCGGGGTTGGTGGAAGAAAAAGGTCTTCTAGGCAAACATGCTAAAGTAGCACCATTAAGCTTACTCTTCTTTTTTGACCCAAAAAAAAAAAAACAACAAAAAAAGCTTACTCTTCTTCATGACATTGACATAGGCTTCCGGCATGAGCAAATCATAGGGTCGCTCTCTTGCTAAGTGAGGAGAGCCGCATGTCATATCTAGGGTTCCCCCTCAAGGTCAGCTGTTGCCGTCACTCCTCCTTAGCCCGCGATGGTTTTGTTGTCGTCTCTCCTTCACGCCACGAGCTACTAGTTTTGTCTCCTCCTTCTCTACTCGGGCTCATCGCAGTAGCTACTCGATTGGTCCCTTGGGATTTTATTGGATTTCGTATGGTTTCGATTGTGAGTACGGTCAGAATTAAGGCTCTCTGTCCTCGTGTCTCCCTCGCTCCACCCACCTGTTGGTTTCATTGTCTATGACTCTGGGTCCCTGTCAGTGGTTTCCTAAGTGTGCTAGTGTTGAGGTGATTCCTTGGATTTTTGCTATGTTGTCTCTGTATTTCTCCTTCGTATGGTGTGTTTTTTTTATTTGACTTGGCTCGGTGGTTAGAGTGGAAATTCTGGTCTCTGCTATGTCTGTATTAAGCTGGAACGTGCAGTGGCTTGGCAATCGTCGTACGTTGACTACGTTCCATGATCTTAGAAACCTCTTACAACACAAAACACCACATATTGTTTTCCTTATTGAGACTCGTATGAATGCTGTCCAAATGAGTGGCTTGGTCCGGAGACTTGGTGTGGGTGGAGTCCTCTATGTTCCTCGTGAATGGTTCTTTGGTGGTCTCTATTTTCTTTGGAACACTGGTTTACAAGTTGTGTTGCTCTCATCCTCTTCCGGACATATTGATGCTCTGGTTACCTTTCCTAATTCCTTTGTTACACAAATTACTAGGTTCTATGGTCATCCTCACCTTACTCGACGGATTTATTCTTGGGATCTTCTTCGCCGTTTGAGTTAGATGAATATTGGTCCATAGATGTGCTGTGATGACTTCAATGAGATTCTGTCTGCGGACGAAAAAAGTGGCCCTCGTCTCCACTCCGTCTGTCAAATTGAAGATTTTCAACGAGCAATTGACGATTGTAATCTGCTTTCATTTGATTTTGTGGGTCACTTTTTTACATGGACGAACAACTGCAAAAATGACGCCAAAGTTCAAGCTCGATTAGACAGAGGCTTTGGTAATTTAGCTTTGCTTCAACAGTGGGGCAATTTCACCATCTACCATCTTTCGACATATTCTTCTAATCATCACCCTCCCTGACGCACAGCCTGGTGTTGATGTTTGGTGTCGTTGGAGTCCATGTCATTTCCAGTTTGAGGAATAATGGACAACTGACAAAGACTATGAAAGAATAACTCAAGAAGGATGGCGTTGTCAGGAATCTCCTACTACTAATCTTTTCATCTGTGCTAAGCGCTTATCAAAGTGGAAAAGTCAAAAATTTAGTCATATGAATTCCAATTCAGTCTCTGTATACCTCTCTGGCTTCCTTTCAAACTATTACCCCGTTTGAAGCCATTCTCTATAGCAAGAAATTGGTTGCAAATGAGCTCGATAGGTTACTAGAACTCGATGAACTATATTGGTGCCAACGTTCTCGTGTCAATTGGCTGCAAGCTAGTGGCTGTAACACTTCCTATTTCATAAGATTGCCAATCACATAGCCAAAATTAATTCTATGGCACAGATTTTTTATGCTAATAATATATTACAAAGTGATCCCGTGAAGATTGGTGTTGTATTTCTCGACTACTATGATCATCTTTTTTCTTCTGCATGCACAGCTATGAGTAATGAAATTTTTGAGGCTGTCTCTTCCTGGTTTTCTCAACTGACTCAATGGTATCTGTCTTTTCTCTTCACCTGTGAGGAAGTGGAAATTTCCATCAAATCTATGAAGCCCACTAAAGCTCCTGGTCCTAATGGGATGCTGGCTTTATTCTATCAGCATTACTGGAGTATTATTGGCTCAGATATTTGTCAACTCTGTTTACAAGTTCTTAATAGGAGTGGTGGGGTAGCTGATTTCAACCATACATTGATCGCCTTAATACCGAAAATTATGTCCCTCCCGCGTAATTGAATTTCCCCCCATTAGTCTCTATAATGTTTTGTATAAAATTATTTCCAAAGTTCTTGCCAACAGGTTGACAAAAGCAATGCTGGATGTCATATCAAAATATCAAAGTGCTTTCATCCCTCACCATATGATCTTGGATAACGTCCGCTTGGTCACCTCATTTCTACTTGAGGTCTACGCCAAGGAGATCATCCCTCATCCTATTTATTCCTCTTAGTGGCTGAAGGTTTTTCCACATTACTTCACAAAGCTAATTGGGACTCTCAAGTCTATGGGGTTTCTATTGCTCATTCTGCTTCTTCTCTTAATCAACTATTTTTTGTAAATGGCAGTCTCTTATTTTGTGATGTTCAAGTTACCCAGATAATGAAATTGAAGCTCCTTTTTAGTCTTTATGAAGTAGCCCTGGGGCAGCAAATCATTTTGCTAAGTCTGCTCTCTATTTTAGCCCATCCAACCCTGAATCAGTTCAAGCTCAACTTCAAGCTCTTCTGGGGGTACTGGTCATTCATTGCCATGAACGTTATTTAGGTCTTCCTACTATCGCCGAAAAAAATAAAAAACATATGTTCAAAGCTATCAAAGATCGCGTTGGAAGAAGATTTCAGGATGGGAAGGTAAACTTATTTTCACATATAGGAAGGAGGTGCTTATTAAGGCGGTGTGTCAGGCGATGCCTACCTATAATATGAGTGTCTTTCGTCTACCGGCTGGCTTATGTTCTAAAATTGAGAGTATGTTTGCTCGTTATTGGTGGTCTAAAGGCAGTGGAAAAGATATCCATTGGAAGACCCAGAAGGCTCTTAGCAAGCACAAAACTAAAGGAGGTCTCGGTTTTCGAGAACTTGTGTGCTTTAATTAGGCTTTGCTTGCCAAACAAGGGTGGGGACTTCTGGAATTTCCCAAATCCCTTATTGCACATGTGCTTAAAGCTCAGTATTTTCCAAAGTCTGATTTTCTGCATGCTCAAGGGGGTTTAACACCTTCTTTTACGTGGCAGTCGATATTATGGGGTCACAAACTCTTTTCCCATGGTCTTCAATTGCGTATCGGTGATGGCCGACTTGTGAACATCTACACTGATCTGTGGGTACCTCACCATCTTACATTTACTATTCAATCTTCTCTGTCTCCTTGTGGATTCTAGAGTCAGTGCTCTTATTTGATAGGAACTGCCCCAGATTCCCTCTCCGAATCCTTGACGGACCCTGCTTCCCTTCTGACATCTACTCGATGATGGACCCATTTTACTAAAAAAAATCCTAGTAGCCCTACTTAAAATGAATAAACAATCAACTTCTACTGAAATTTCAGCAGTCTCCCTTCAAAAATGGACTTTACCAAATTTTTCACTTGTCAAATACAATAGAAAAACAACCAACTACCAGAACACCCAAAGCAGTAGCAGATGGAAAATACAAAATAAGCCTCCGACCTCATAAACAATCCTTTAAAATCAAAGCACTAACACGGATCAAACAAACTCAAACAGATCAATTTGCGGCTGCACCTAGGTTAACCCTGGTTGCCTGCGTACTCTTAAAGAGAGATCAAGCCACACGTAGTTCTTCCAACTAAAAGGATCACAATTCGGAAAAATATATTGATATTGTCCAAGTAAAACCAACAATTAAAATTAGATTCATTCTCAACTCCAATTTTCACAAGGCATAAAACTAAATATTTTATAAATTCCTTTCTTCCCATGATTCAATAACTCAAAACCATTTCCCTGTAAAGACTCACATGTACTATGCATAGCTCTTTTAAAACTAACCGTTTACTTTGAAACTCAAATTACTTTTCCAAAATCATTTTTTCTGATAACCATACCCTATCCAAGGCGTATATTGCAAAGCAACACTGTCCAAGTATCATAACAATGATCACACCTGTGTCGAGCACTCACTATGCACATACTCAAGAAAATCCCACCATTGTTCCCACTATACTTTTATCTTTACATAAACACATTTCCCAGACACGCACGACGGAATCCTCGACGACCGTGCAGCTAAACTTAATCCCCGGACACAACCAACAGAATCCTCAACACCCATTCGACTAGAACTCAAAACCACTATCTCGAATCCCAAAACACAAGGTCATAAAATTATAAAATAGAAACTCAACCCACAACCAGATTTCTAATAAACCACTAAA